AACTTTCAACTTACGAACTTTCATACACACAAACGAAGAGGACTATAAGTCTAAATTGTGTTCATTGGGCTTCCGTTTCCTGTCCGCAACATCAATTTTTTTATCTGCACGCCAGTTCCGCATAGTATGACTTCTGGCCTCTACTCGAACTCCCAGAATCCTAGTTCTTAGTACTTGTGTATACCGTTAAAATGACGTTGAATAACGACTTACGAACATTTCAAGTTACGAACGGCCGTTCAGAACGTATCTTGTTCACAAGTAGAGGAGTGTCTGTATATCGTTTAATCTTTACAGCGAATGTGTGCGTGAGCCTTGCAAACACTGCGTGATGATACTGATACTCAATGGCTGCTGTATATTGAAAACTGGTGCATTTTCTTTCACTTGGTACTGCACCGATTTTTGAAAAACCGTCAAGCCATCAGAACAGGGGACGAAAAATAAGACGTTTCCAGGGAAACCTGGACTTATGGTAACCTTAAGAAAAGCAGACGCTCATTTTAAATAAGTATAAAATAAAACCTGCACAAAATATTTACATATTGCCAATATTAAAATCCTTTGTGGGATTCAGACCAAGATGTTACATTCATTGATAAATAATTTACAGATGCCCATCAATCTTAAAGATAAATAAAAAACAAACAGCCAATTACAGTAATTCTTCCCATTTATATTACAGTATATCCATCGATGTTTCCTAGGTGAATTTGGTCTTGTTTTGTTACCCTACTAACTAGTTTAGATAATACATTATTAAATTTGCTTTCATGTATATAGATTATTCAACACTTCCAACAAAAATTGTTATGCATGAAATAGTTTTTGGGTTGGCAAGTCATATTCTAAAAAGTATGATTAGTGGGGTGCACCTGTCAGCCAACCAGAAAAAAGCTCAGAATATTTCATTCAGCCTGTTGATTGGTTCACCACCTTTGGCTAGGCTGTCCCATCTTACAGTTACATAAAATCAAGAAATGATAGTTAATCAAAAAATGAAAGGAAACAGCCCAGTATAGGTACTTTAATGCACATTTAAGCTAATGCCTGTTTTTCTTGATGTTTATTTAAACAGACATTATTCACAAATACAAACATTTTCTAGTGAAATTCATATCTTCTAGATCTTTAGCCACCTGACCTTCATAAACCCATTTAAACTGAGTACTGTTGCTCTGTTGTCTATGAAAATTTTTTTAAATGTGAAACCCACAAGATACAAATAATTTAAATCTGGCAGATTTTAAAGAATTCTTTAATCAAAATAAAGTGGCTATAAAAAGTGTACACACACCTGTACACACAATGCCAGGTATTTGTAAAGAAATGAGACCATCATAAGTCATTTCAAAACTTTTCCCACCTTTAATGTGGTGTACACAATGATGTTAAACACTTTTTATATCAATTGTGCATATTAACCATATTTAACAGGCTCACCTTCAGTTACACCCCACAGGATGAATGCTGAGGAAACCACGATTGGTGGAACGGTGACATGTGACCAGTGACTCAACAGAGCCTGTCTGCTTTCACCTACAGACAGAAAGGTTAACCACATGCTCTAGAACATTAGATGATTCATGCAAAGTTGCTAATTAAGCCCTGTGATGGACAGGCACCCTGTGTAGATACAGTCCTGCCTGATGCCCCATGTCTGCTGAGATGCCCTCTACAGGATAAGTGGTTTCAAACATGGATCCACTGATGTCATCAAAATTACTAGAAGTAACAGAGCAGATACTTCACAATAATTCACCTTGTCTTACTCGTGCTTTAAAAAGATTCGATTGAAACTGAATATGTTTCAAAATGACTTACTTTGCATTATAAAATGCCTGACAGATAAAGCACCAGTAAGTAGGACTGCAGGTGTGACAGCGATGCACAGCCCCAGAATCAGCCAATGCAGGGAGGAATAACCTAAAAAAATATAAAATTAAGACATAGGTTTCAGAATTTATTTTTGCAAACAGGCTTGACATACTAGAGTATAATCAGCATGTCTAATCCAATAATTAGTCTCCAAAACTGGAGAACAAATTTGTTTTATGTGCATGATTCCTAATTGTTAATTGACTTACATACAGTAAATATTAAGTGAAAATAAAATCATCGATTGTACGGCATTGCTCTAATCTTCTATCTTATGTAGAGCTGAAAACTGCACTCAAGTAGAAGCGTAAAGCAAATATACATTCAGTAATTTTGTCTATAAAGCTAACTAACCCCAATTAGACTATGGATGTGCATAAAGATCAGTGTACAACAGAACCACTGAATCTCAGGAGAATGAAAATGTGATTTAATCACAAAAAAACTATGTTGAGATGTTAAAACGAGTCCTTTTAGTGACTAGTCATTGTGATCGTCAATGGATATTGACTGTAAAAGAGTTTCAAGTGTTCCCTGACACCCAATCTTACACGGACCTTCGCTGTTGTAGGGGTATGATTCTCATCTATGGTGCAGGATGTCCTGCATTCAACTAGGGCTATATTCATAGTGAGAGTATATGAATATGATGGGACAACTTAATAAAGAATTATAATATGGTTAAAGCAATCTTAAAAAGATGCTTAATATTAGCTTTCGATGAAAACAATCTAAATAAGCCTCTGGCTTGACTTTACTAAAAACCTTTAAGGGTCATTTACTGTATAGTTGCGGTGCCTTTTAATGTCATACCAGTAACCAGGGCCATGCTCATGGTGAGCAAATGGACAGTAAAGGAAAGTGAACAAAAAGAAAGGTTAAAACATCATAAAAAATTAGAAATTGTTAGGAAGACAGTGTAGTCAGTAAAGTGGTAACTATGCAAAAGGCAGTTAAAAGAAGGACAATACATTAAAGGAGTAGGACATACAGGTGGATCTTCACCGATAAGTAAAAACATGAGAATCGGCCTGGTTTGCCCGATGTGACACCTTGTGTAGGTGACCTGGTGACTCACCCACTGCTGCTATCCTGGCTGTTGTACTGCCACCAGGATCAGTATCTGAGTAGGCTTCACACCTGAACTCTCCTTTGTCTTCAGTCCTGACTTTCCTCAGTTTCATTGAGAAGTTTCCTTTGGGAATTTCCTCAGTGAAGAATTCAGCTCTTCTAGAGTATCTCCCATCCTGTGACTCTGGTCTGTTCTCTCCATCAGCATACAGAAGCACCAAGATGTCACCGTCATCGTCTGTCTTTCTCCATTCCACCTGAAGCTCTGACACATTAACATGCGTGTCCACAGAGCAGCTGAGAGTCACATCCTCTCCAGCATGTGCATAGACAGGCTCATCTGCACCCGTCACCACCAGCCACTCTGGAACAAGAACAGGAAGATTCACACAACCTGGCAACCTGACGTCTCTGTGTTTTTCCTTCCTGTTTAGGGATGAAACTCAGATAATTTGGACTGTTTCCATTTTAATATTTAATTTATCACATTTAAAATCAGGGACCTGTAAGATGAAAGATTTTTGTGATTTTTGTTTGCTGGTAAAAAACTGCAGGTAATATAAAAACTTCACATCAGTGATAAAATTTAAGATAAAACAATGTCAATTAAGCTGTCTCCAAGAGTGATTACACTGTACTA